ACAGAAGAGCTTCAACGATACAACAACAACATCATTCACGTCAATAATATCGACACTTTCAATTGCTTTCGATACCTATTATGCGATACTTTTTTTTCGAAATGTTACATCACTTCAACCGACATCTTATTTGTTGCAAAAATCGGATCAAAAAGATCAACACCAAAAATTTTTACACTTTACGAGATACGTTATTTGAAAAACTATATGTGTTCAATATTGAGTATAACAAAAAAGAAACTTTAAAAAAAAGTCGCCATTTTTTACTTTTAACCAATTTGCGTACGGAGTGAAGAGTTAAAGCCGACAGGAACAATAACCTGGATGGGGAACTATGAATCAATTTGGTGTCAGTCGCGTCCAGTGTGATCGATAAACCCATATTTTTGCGTGACAAAGATCCACAATCACTCATCTTTAACTTTGTGGCAAACTTGGAGTTGTTGGCGAAGCAAGGATGCGATCCAAATTTCTTGAAATTGAAAATAACATCAAAAAAGGGACTACATACGACTTTCAGTATCATTAACGAGCGAGACAGTTTCAAAAAAAATGAAGCAAGAGAATGCGAAGACGAATATATCGAGGATGAGGAAAAAACAGACGCATCCACTCACCTTCTCAGGGTTGAAAATAATCAAATGATCGATTTGATGCTACATCTAGAGAGATACGCCAATATTCTAGCAATATTTGGACTCAACAGTGGCCGGCATGATATAAACTTCATTTAATTATATCTCATTCCCTACCTAATCAACGAAAAGGAAATTGAACCATTAGTAATCAAGAAAGCCAACGACTTTGTTTCGTTCAAACTTGGAGATATCTAGCTTCGCGACATTATGAAAATTTTAGATGGAGCTACTACATTAGATTCTTTTCATAAAGCGTACAAAGCCAGTGAGATGAAAGGGTATTTTCCATACAAGTGTTTTGATGCTCCCAACAAACTCGATGACCAACAACTACCGTCGTATTATGTTTTTTACAGTAAACTGGAAAACAGCAACCCTCACGATAAACAGCTTGACGGTTATCAAAAACTTCTCAGACCTGGGTTAACTGAAGAGCAAGCAATTAAAAAACTGGGGTTTTGAAACTAAACTTCCTACGAGACTGGAAAACGACAACTACCTGAAATCTATCTAGGAACAGAAAAAGTTGTCATCATTTTGCAATTTTTTACAGAGGTATAACAACAAGGATGTTGTTCCTACCCTTTAAACTACTAAAAAAGTTATTGAATCTTATCACGATAAGAGTTACATAAGTTGAATCTCGGTTGCAAACTACCGAATTTAGCAAATCTTTGTCTACACAAGTCAACCGACTATAAATTTTAACCCAATTAAAGTGATAGTCACTTACTTGAAAAAATACCGGAAGCTATGACCGGTGGTACTTCACTTATTTTCACAAGGAAAGCAGTAGCAAGTAAGACGTTTAATTAAAATCAAACAATCTGTGTAAATCAATCATTGTGATTGATGCCAGTTAATTATATCGTTAATAATTGTGCCAGGATTTGCACATTGGCCTATAAACGAGATGAGACTACAATGAAGAAACGCAAAAGTTCAATGCAAAGCAAAAGTTTGTACGTTTGAAAATATGTTCAAGTCAAATTTTCAAGCAACCCAAGTTGAATTTAAAATTGGAAGCTTCTAGACAACAGGAACTCAGAAAAAATTGATTGCTTCAGTGTTGATGATTATTGCAACCTTTGTAGTAGTGTTTTTGAAGCAATGGGTTGTGATTTCCATTTTTGTCTTGTCATGAAGTTATACCTTGTCTTACTGATGATGATATCAAACGAGGAACCAAGAAAAGAGAATTGGCCTAGCTGACTAGCTTCAAAAAGATTACAGTCGAGAAAAAGGATACTCCATAGAATAAGTGTGGGAGTGTAGTTGGTGGGATCCATTTAAAAACCGCGTTGACGTGAAAAGCACGAGATAACTTCTTTTTCCTTCAATTTTTCCGAATGAATTAAAAGTAGAATTCTCAATTTTTCACCAGTTTTCAAAAAATCGCTGTTAGCAGAAATGATATTTAGGAATATATGAAGACGTTTGACTAAACAAACGGCACATTTATTAAATCACTTTTCAACTCTCACTTGGATCTTAGAGTACAGTGTGAAGAAGTTCATCGATTTGTACAAAACACAGCGCGTAATGTTTTCAACAGTTTCGTACAGTCTGTTGTTGATGCTAGGCGATCCGGTGATAAAATCCATTGTCTGGTGTGGTAGCCGAAACAATAAAACTGCTAGGAAATACTTCCTGTGGATGTCAATTAATGGACAGATCAAAACATACAATGACAAAATATCATACAGGAGACGAAAAAACCCATAAAGCTATCAAAAACCAATTCTTCGAGAGACTCTATTTTGTAGCTAATGACTTGTATGAAGACGAGCTTGTTATGTTTACTTTTAAACAAGGCGAACCAATTAAAGTAGATTTCGTCGTACTACACTGTTCAAACTTGAGAAAGTTGGAGCTGTATTACAACTTTTTCGATGAATTTTGCGATGTCAACAAATTTGAAGAACTCGAAATGGATACTGGTTCTCTCTTTTTGGCTTCGGCAGAGGTAAATTGATATGAAAATATCATCCTCAGCAAGCGAGCAGAGTGGATTGGAAAGCGAAACAAGGACTTTCGAGACGATTTAGAGCATATTAGAAAATCAATTTGTTCGTCCGTATTTGCTGCTCCAAACACAAAAACCTGATAAGAGAGAGCCAGAAAGAGGACTTCAGATGGACCAAAATGTTGTGGCTATGTAGTAAAATTTTTGCCGTTACGATAGTAAAAATCAAAAGTTTTAGTATTGCAGCAAGGGAATGAACAAACGCACATTAAAATGCTCTGGAGATGGTCCGATGGCAAGGTATAGACAAGTATTGGATGAAGTAGTCAATTTAAAGTCAACTAATAGAGGACTTAAAACGCATGCATTTGCAACTTTTGAACCAACTAAAAAAGGACTGAGCTATGTTTACCCTAAACAGGATGTTGAATGTGATGGAATGCATACTAACGCTCTAAATTTGTAAGAGATATTGTAGTAAAGTTATAAAGATGTAGTAAATTGAAACATTTTCTCTGTATATAATTATTTTTTTAACCATTCATTTTAAGCGCTACGCTCGAGTAAACAACTATTATTTCCAATAATCCAGAGAGTTCTTAGAATCCTAAACACTGCAGAATCGGCAAAATCGGGCGCCAATAACTATGAAACTTACCATCTGAAACTTATAATATATCTTATTACATTGGTAAAGCTATTCCCTATCCTAATATTTTGAGTTTCTATTACTAATCCTAATACAGAGAAATCTATAAACTATCCTATTACATGGGTACTTCGGGCGCCAAATTTTTTTGAAAATTACCATCTTAAACTCTGAACCTATAACATATCTTAATACATTGGGAAACCTATTCCCTATCTTAATACAAAGGCGGGAGACTGGAAGGCCATAGTCTAGCTGAATACATGGAGGTCTTCCGCACCCGAATTTATACTACTACAGTTACAACTTACTCATTTACAAATATCATAGACTGGGAAGATGCCATCAGGCTGCTAGAGTCTGTTTTATGGCGCCTCGAGTTAGAAAAAAAATAGCCTGTTTTGCAATTGCAGTTTTTTTTGTTCTGCTATTTTATAGATAATGATCGAGACCGTTAGAAACCAAGCAATTAACAACATGCTCATTCTATTTAATTAAATGATATCTCTGATATCTAGAATTTTAAAAAAGTCTTTTGGTTTGCGCAAGTTACTGATTTCTGATAGGATAAAAAAAATTTTGTTCAGTTCCCCATAAAATGGACTTTGGAGTTGTAATAATAGTCTCAGATCAGTTTTGCAGTGTCAAAAATTAGACATTGCACTGAATTTTAAGAGAAATCTCATAGTCGATACAAGTTTTATAAAATTCGAATACCGTTAAATTATATTTTCTTTAATTTACATCCAATTTGGTCCGCTCATTGGTCATAGACAATGATGAGCTTTTTATAAATGGCATTAGAGAACTTGGTATCATCTGTCGCTACATGTAATCGTTTCGTTCCAAAAATCGAAAGAGAGCAGCTAATAATGTATAAGGGAAGAATATTTGAGATTTATAACATAGCCAATCGAAGATTGGAAAAGAGTAATGAACGCAAGATAACATAGAAAAACGCTGACCTAAAGGAAAAAGTCTCAACTTTTGAATTTCGAAGAAAAAAATGGATACCCTTACTAGAATGATTTATGATTGTCTTTTTTTGGATAACATTAACCCAACTTGAGAAAACTGGATCAACAGATAAAGTTTTTACTCCGCAGGAAATCTAGAAATGAAATTCCAGTTTCTAAACTAGAAATCATTCACTAATTTTTGCACGATTTCTACGTACGTATTTGAATAGTGCTGTTTACGTCACTTTCAGCAGATGAATTTCAATTCAACTCAAAAAGTGCATATACCTTATGTGTATGCACATCTGTAGTTAATAGAGACTTTTATTCACATTTTAAGACTTCCTGAAAAAAAATCAGCAAGAACCATATAAGGGTCATCACTACGTGCATTACTCTTTAAAATTAGAATGTTAAAACTTCAATTCTTTTTAGCCTTTTTATTATTTTCCGTTATGTTCTGTATTGTTTTGCGCGTTTTAAATCTCAATTTTACCAATAGTTCTCAATTTAAACTTCATTTGACTTGAATGCTTTTTCTTATAAAATGCTGATCACTTGTCTTAGGTCATAGCTTATAAAGATTAAACCATTCATATTATACAAATATAAAACAATTTACACTTCAATCAATCGGAATGTATATCTTCTGTCTTGATTCACATTTTTATTTGATTTCCAGGATCTTTTCTTGAAAACTAAATTGCAATCACAGTTGAAATTCTCGCGCTTTGATTATCACTAGCTCAGATATGTTCGAAAGTTGATGAAGGTTGAAGATGTTTTCATTACTTTCCGCCGCCACCGCCGTTGTACTTATCGGACCATTTATCCTGTTTTGGGCCCTGTTTGATCACAGAGCAAGCGGCACATACAAGCAGAGTCAAAAACAACACTAGAACCAACAGGAATAGAAGCACTGCTACGAATAGTATAGTGATGAACTTTTTCAGAATGGGGTAACTCCCGTCATCATTTGGGTTTTTTTTGCAAGTGCTGAAAAATTTTTTCTGATCATTTATCAAACCGTCCCAATCCTGTTGTGACATTTGATTTTTGATTTCATCTACATCTATGTGTTCGAAGAGGTCATCACAACAGGTCAAGGGGTAAGGGTTGTTCGTAAATCCTGAAATAGTTAAAATTGTACGAATGGAAAATGCGAGAGAAAAACATACCCAATTGAAGATTGGAAAAGAGTAATGAACGCAAATTAACATAAAAACACTGACTTTCTTTTGAATCTCAATTTTCGATTTTCAAAGAAAAAAATAAATACCCTTTAAGCTCTCTGAATTTCTAGAACAAGTTATGATTGGCGCTCTTTTGATAAAATGAACGCAACTATAGAAAACTGAATCAACGGGTTAAGTTTTTATTCGGCTGGAAATCTAAAAAAGGTTTTATTTATGACAGCTTTTCTGTCGAAAAAATTCATAGTCTGTTATATCCTGTATCTGTCATGTCATATCATATGTCTGGGCGCTTTTTCCTTTCACAAATACAATTTATTTCGTGTTTTCCGATTGGTATGAAAGTGGACACCCAGACTTATTAGGCCATCCCGGGTTAACAGAGAAAATCAGTACATCTCGAGAACTGCATAATGTGCCATTTCCCCGGTTGGCACACCCGAATTTTCCACCGCACGCTAGAATTGACGATGAAAGGTGTTAGGGACAAATTTAAAGTGAAAAGGAGACTTAGAATGTTCCATATTTTTCGATTTGGACTGGAACAATTCTGAGAAACACCAAAAAGGTTCATTTCGACGATAACAACGTGTCAAACTCAACAGCCGATTGCGAGACGGAAAACGGTCGAGAAAAGGAGGGAAATAAATGAAGAATAACGAAGCCTCCTATCCTGACACGAAAAGAGGATAAGGTGCTTACTAGAAGAAGACGAAAGTAAGAAGACGGAAGTGTGAACCGAAGGTCCAGTGGCACATTCGGGCCGGCTCCGAACCCTTCAGTGCAACAGAAAGTGGGAGATAACGACATTATCTCCGCCGGGAGAGTTTGGAATTGGAGGCCCGGTGCCCAGAGACTCTTTTAGCAAATTTTGATTATGTTTTAGCTGCTGTAATACCCTGAACGCAATTAGTTTAATCTGATATTGATATAGTATTTTAGAGCATGAGCAGTTAGAGGCGAGGAAAGATTCAATCCATCTCTAAGAGATATAGTATAAAACTGTCGTTAAAACGCCTTTAATTGTGGTTTATAGCCGTGTTCTTAGAATGATCACGTTGTCTGGGGATCTGAGCACGCAAACGAAAGCTGACCAAAAGTCGTATGGCTGATTGCCTATAATTAGTAACATAACAGTTAGCCCTTAAACAGACCAGAAAAATACCTGGCTAGGTCAGGACAGTTGAGAACAAGTAGAATTGAGGTAACTTACGTCAACCAGTCGTCAATAGGTGCTTTTGCTACGCTCCTTTACTGTTTAGTTTCTGGACGAATGTTACATAGACGTTTTTATGGCTCTCCTGTGTGTGCCTGTATAAAGCAAAAGACCATCACGATCAGCAAACGTTTCAGCGACGAACCTTCTGCTTCGGCCTTGTTGTTCTGTATTGAACTAGACGGAAAATTTGGACCCTCCGATTAGTACAATTTAGCTTTCTAACCTACTTAAGATCGAAAATTCTGGGGGTCGGAGGGTTAGGTGGGAAGTCATATGCCCACTTCTCCCAAGGCTGTGGGACCAAAAACATTTAAAGAAAAGCGTAAAAATAAACAAAAATAGTGTATAACTAAGTACCAGCCAAAAACAAATACATTTTAAAAGTACAAAAAACAGTAAAAAAACCCACAAAACCAAAATAAAACAAAAAAAAAACATAAAATGGCAGTTTTATATATTATTTTTGGACAAGATGTGATTCGAGTTTCCTACTTGTTGTTGTTTCAGATTGTTTCATATCATTCCTTATCGAAAAATCAAGTGTTTTGGTCGTTGGTTAGGTACTCTCCTTTGAGTGTTTTTTGATCCAAAAAATTTTAAATATCGGAAAGGGAAGGATTTGGAGGGTCCAAATCCAAAGTTTTAGGCCAGATTTTTGTTTCTAAACCAATTTTTTCTAATTTTTTGTTTTTTAATTCATTCAATACTGTATAGGACTATTTCGCTCGCTCCAAAAAATTTTAAGCGCCTCCAGCAAAAAATGCGAAACCAGTCGCTAAAATCTGTATAGGTAGTGAAAAAAAGCCAATTTAGTGAACCCGTTTTTGTTGATTTCTCAAAGACTACCTAGCTGATCGGAATAAATTTGCTACCAAAACTCAACGTTTTTGTTCTTGTTTCTGACCCGCAACCGTTTTCAGGTTGATAAGATCGGAAAAGAATTTTTTCGTAATTTGTCAGATTGGAAGAACCAATTTTATCTCCGGGAGAGGTCGAAATTGGAGGTCCGGTGCCAAGAGACTTTCGAGCAAACTGACTATATTTTAGCTGCTGTAATGCCCTGAACCCAATAAATTTAATCCGATTTTGACATAGTTTTTTAAAGCATGAGCAGTTGGAGGCGAGGAAAGAGTCCACCTATCTCTAATGGATGTAGTAAATAAGTGTCACTAAAAATAATTATAATAATGGTTTCTAGCCAGCTATGAAGTTATTCTTGCATGCAAACAAAAACTGATCAAAAATCGTCTCCAAATGATAACATAACAGTTAACCCTTAAACAGACCAGATAAACAAATGGCTAGGTCAAGACGGTTAAAATTGAGTAGGACTAAGGTAACTGAAGTCAAAAGGTACTTTTTCTACGCTCCGTCACTGCGTGTTTTCTGGACGAATGTTACATAGACGTTTTTTGGCGCTCCTGGGTGGGCCTGTTTAAGGCAATAACCATCACGCTCAGCAAAGTTTTCAGCGACGAACCCTCCGGTTTGCGCTTAAGCCCGAGTTAGAGGCCTTGTTGTCCCGTATTGTACTAGACGGAAGGTTCGGGCCCTACTAGTACAATTTTGTTTTTTAACCTAGTTAAGATCAAAAATTCCGTGTTCAGAGTTGTGAAGTCATGAGCCCACTCTTCCCGAGGCTCTGTGACCAAAAACAGTTAAAGAGAAAGCGAGATACTAAAAAAAATTAATGTATAACTAAGAAAAAGCCAAAAACAAATTTACTTCAAAGCAAAAAAAGTTATTATGTTTTCATTTCTAAACCGATTTTGGGGCGATTTTTGTTGAATTACTTCAATATTGTACAGGGCTACTACGCTCGTTCCAATTTTTTTCAAACGCTTTCAGCAAGAATTGCAAAAAAGTGTTTTCTGGGATGCTATATAGATAAAAAAATAGACTAATTTAGCAAACGCGTTTTGTTGATTTCTCAAAGACAACCGAACCAGTCGGAATAATTTTGGTACCATGAATCCACGTTATTGTTCATTTGTCTGACCCGCAATCGTTTTTAGGTTGAAAGGATTGGCAAATTTTTTTGTAGAGTTTGTCAATTTGGAATAAGCAATAAGTGGTTAAACCCAGGGGCGTCGGAGGCGGAAAAGACAGGTCTTTATTCCGAATTACTAGATTTGCCTCCCATTCTTACTAGAGCGGTGATCTTAGTCCAAGATTATTTACAAACAACACGTTTGAAAAAAGCAATTTTTGAAAAATCATATTAATAATAAATAATATTAATGATATTCAACATCACAACAACTTTTATGATGTTTCAACGTCTGTAAATCATTTTATATCAATTTTATCAACCTGACGATGGACATAGTTCCAAGAACGTTCGGATTCACACTTAACTAATTTTTCTTTGTAATAATAAAATTATTTTAAAATTATAACGATAATAATAATAATAGAAGACCTAATTTTTAGATTCCTATCTAAATTCAGTTGCTCAAGCCTTTCAATTGCTAACGCTAACATATTTCTAATTTTTTGCAAAAGGAAAACTGCGTTTTTGGTTGTTTTCAGCTGATTTTTAGCTGTGGTGGGATGCATCAGTTAACGAAAAAGTTTTTTTTCCAAATAATTGCCAAAAATTGCCCTGTTTCCAGGCAAATTCAGTTGCTCAAGCCTTTCAATTACCAACGCTAATACATTTCTGTTTTTTCGCAAAAAAATTTGCGTTTTTAGGTTGTTTTGAGCTGTGGGGATACATCAATTTAAAAACTTGTTTTTCTTCCCTTTTTTAATCAAAAATTTCCTCTTTACTGCTCATGCCTCTTAACAACCAACGCTAATGCTAACTAATTTCTATTGATTTGCAGAAAAAAAAACTTCGTTTTTAGGTTGTTTGTAGCACAATCGTTAATTTTTAGGCTATTTTAATGAGTTTTTCCCTTCTGTAATGACACGTAACAAAACTTTGAATTTGAATTGAAATCTCGTTAAAAAGTTTCCAGTCATGTTTTAGAATAAAAGTAGAATGATACAGTACTGTAAAAGTAGTGTTACAGTTCTAGAACAGTACTGGCAGTTTTTTCCTGTTCAAACTCTTGGACAGTTGAAAAGCAGAGTGAAATACTGATTTTACTCTTATACAGGACTGAATTTTGCTTTACAACTGTTGTTTTACTTGAACACTACTGATAACCTCTGTGACTACAACCCGGATGACAAACAATTTTAGTCTTCAAGTAGGGGGGAACCCATGTCTTTCTTATGATCGACTGCCTTCATATCCTGTTGGTATAAGATTCATAGAAAATTTAGCAAAAATGTTCGTTTTTAAAATGGGTTGTTCTTTTTCAGATGCAGGGCATCAATATATTCTTGTTTTTACTAAGCTAATTTCCATTTTAAAAAAAATGAATTTCTCTACAGGAGAAAAAGAACCACGCTAAGCTTAACTTTTTTGTCGCGTTCTCCAGAAATTGGAATAGAAATTCAACAATTAGAAAACAACTCACAAAAATCGCAACTGGCTCTCACAAAAATCGCCTTACTCTTTTTTGTTTTTTTTGGCGTGTAATATATGTTCAGCATTTGTGAATGATATTTTATTGTAGGACAATCATTTTTTCACCAAAAGAAAATTGTATCATAGGCTTTTTCGTCAACTTGGACTATTTTTGTTTTTCAAACTCCTTGTACCGTCTCAAGCTATAGCTTCTCCCAAACATGGTTTAAAACTTGTTATAAAACAAATGAAACTATAAAATAGTACTCCTCGCTCCATATCCCTTTTGTTGCTCCCCAGAAACCCAATCCGGGTCTTTTTACTTGCGCCACCTGAATGCGCATTTTACAAACGTGAAAACAGAAAACAAAATGCTCGATTCTTATTGGTTAATATCTCACGGAAGCGTAGTTTGAACAAAGCGTCCAAAATAGAAATTTGTGCGGCATGAGTAAAAAGACACTATGATAATTGGCCCGATTTACCTTTGATGACGCTGGTGGTGACCTGGAACTTCTTGAAATCTCCGGGTCCATCCACTCCACAAGTCTTCAACCCGACCCACACCACATTGTAGAAGATAGATGGCGAGTTCAACCCTGTCTCCCCCTCATAGTCCTTGAACTGGTCTATCATCTGGTCATGCAGCTTCACAAGGACATAGATAAAAATACTCAGCCAGGCTATTGTGACCACAATCAGAACTGAAATATAATAATTGGTTTTGAAGTAATTAGTTTCAACCAATCAGAGTCAAGCGTTATGATCTTATTTTTAAAACTCACAAAGAACTGTATAACAGTAAAGACTTCACTCAAAGATTTTTCGGAACGGTGGGGGAAAAACTGAACACCCTCCCCGAGGGGCGGATCTAGGATTTTCTCGAGGGTGGGCGGATTTTCAAAAAAAATTGAAAACTTTGTCTACCTTTTTTTAGGTCGATCAAATTGATTTTCTGACCTCTCCCAAATTACCAAAAAGACCCGTTTTTTGAGCAAATGTTCTGCATTTTTTGAAAAACAGGCCAAAAAGCGTTTTAAAGCACTTTTTTTGAAAGATTTGATTTTAAAAAATGCGTTTTTTTTGGCGCGCGCTCCCCCTTCAAAATTAGTATATATTAGTATATATATGCGCCATTAGAAAAAATTTAGGGTCCGTCAGCCATAAATGGATATCTCAAAATAGTACAAAGGGTGAGCGAGCCATTTGGGTCGGCAGGTGTTCGAGTCCCTGAATGGGGGCGTCCGCCCACCCTTAATTCTCCCCTGCCCTCCCCACACTCTTTCTCATAATTTATCTTGTTGAGTTCTGATTGGTTGAAATTTGAGTCATCGAACTTCTGGACCGATTGTTCACTGTTCAAGCAGCATAAACTCAAGATGTAGATAGTGACCGGCGCAGCCGCGCCAACGTGTTGCGAGCTTGTCAACAGAGGGTAGGACTCTATACGAATTTTAAAGCCGGCTTTCACGGTGACCTGCGCGTAGCGCGCCCACTGGCGAAGTTAAACCGAGACTCAGCTAATTTAGTCTTTTGGCCAATTGAAAAGATTTGGGACTTATGCGACTGCTTTTGTATTTTGGGACATATGAATACGCACCTTCTCCATCCAGCCATCATTTGCCCTGCCAAATTGATTCTTTCGAGAAAAAAAATATGCTTCCTTGATCTTGCACCATCACTAAGAGATCATGAACTGAATTGTCTGTCAAAAAGATAAACAAGAACCTGAGCATTGAAAAGTTTAAATTATTCTGGAAAACCATTAACATAAACAAGACTGCTCGTATATTAGAGCAAAGCACTGAATGTTCCGACTGTCCCTTAATTCGTATCGAATAGTTTTTGGGAAAAAAATATTGAAAACCTATAAAATTTGGACAATATCAAATTGTGAAATGTTGAGTTGAACACAACCGATCTGATTAGCTAGCCTCAGTTCATTTTGAACGATTTTGTTGCGCTGGATAATTTACCACACATAACCAATTCGCCTTTCACTCTTAGCGAAATGATTAAGTTCTTCAAAGCGCATAATTTAGTTCAGAAAATGGCCAATTTAAAAATTTTCAAACCTCCAGAGCTTAACAAAAAATAATCAGAGGTAAAGTGTTTTTTAAATTTGAACTCAGGAAATCAATATCTTCAAAAGGTTGTAAGAAATTTTTCGAACAACAAGAAAAGACTGCTCGTGTCAGGGCAAAGCCCTGAATGTTCCGAATGCCTTTTAAGGTCTTCGGAGCAGTAATAGCATTCAAAAAATAAATAGAAAACATTCAAATTTAATTTAAATTTGAGTTTTTTTATATAAAATCATCTCCCCCCGACGCCATAAGAAATAAAAAGGATAGATTTCGCTCCTAGTAACAAATCAATTATGGAAAGTAAGCTTCCTTCAACCAATTTGGAACGATTTCTAAGACGGGCTAAATCTCCGCGTACGCGTTAATAACGCGAAATAAATCGCGCGTTAATCGTCCCAAATTGGCCAAAATGGCAATCTTTAAACCCCCATAAGAAAAGAACACAGATGAAACATTTTTCCAAATTTAATCTCAGTACAACAATGGTTTTTGATTGAAATGGAAAAAAAATCCGCCGAAAGTGGCTAGTTAAAAAGTCAAAATTTATGTGAAGAAAAAATAATCAACCTGAGCACAAATGTTCGGTTAAGAAAGTCGGAACAAAAAATTCGCTGCTTTCATTGACTCTATGAAAACCAGTGGTTTGATCGAAGCGTAGCTATAGGAAATACGTCTAAATGGGTATGTTCACGTGATATTTAAGTCACCATTCTGTAACAACAAATTTTTTTGTAGAATTTTTTCTAGATTTTCCTTTACTCCTGCAATTGGCCAGGGTATAAATTGTGTTCGGGCACTACATTTAATTTCCGTAAACAGCTCTTTACCTTTGCTCAAAGAATGAAAAAAACAATTGGGAAAGGTGCCGCCCTTGGCGCGATGTTCGTAAAGCCGGTATGCATTTCTGTATGCGCTTAGCCAACATTCTTCACATGCGTTTTTCAGGTGCCAATTATGTCAGGCAGTTTTTCGTCTCATGGGTGTAATCTTTAATTCTGATGGCTTAGATACCTGATAAGACTTGTACTGCTTGTCACCCGTAGTTTTTTTCACTCTTTTTCTTTGTGTATCCCGTTGAAAACTCAAAGGTATCTTGTTGAACCTTCTGGATAAACAAAGCTTGTTTTTTGATATTTTTCTTGTGTTTAAGTTTCCATCGGATTGATTAATCAAATTATACAAATTTTGCGCATTTCTAGTAGTTTGATGTTTTGAAATTCTGAGTTACCAAAAACTAAACAGTTAAGTTGCACTTTAATCCCTAATAGCTCAAAATTGGTGCCTTTTTTAATAATTTAAACATTTTTGTCCTTTTTAAAATTTGTCGTTTTGCATATATTTTTATCAAGTGTTTTGCTATCTGACCGATCTTTTTAAGGCTGGATAATGAACAATTGCAATTTTTTGTACATTGTGTCTGAACGTTAGATATTTTCATGTTTTTATTTTTTTTAACGTTTTTTTTCGGCTATTGCTGAAATTTCATCGTTATTTTCTTTACTTGGTCTGCATTCGGTACTAAATTTAAAATTTACAATAACTCTTTTAATTTTTGTTTCAAAAGTTTGGTTCCAAGGTTATCCTTTAAAATGATGGCTATTAATTTACTTCCTTGATTTTATCTGATTTGATCCAATGTGTTTTGCGGAAGTTATTTTTCTGTTTCCGTTATGCTCTAAGTTTTATAATTATAACTTAAACCATTTTTCTGAAAGTTGTTTCTCGGTTTTCCTGTTCTTGGCTATGCTTTGCCTCAGTGTCCTCAAACTATTGCTGATTTTTCGTTTAAGAAAAATCAAGAATATGTAGAACTACTTAACTGTAGCTTACATCTGAATCAAACTGAGTTCAGAGTGGGCTTGGTCTAAAGCAGAAGCAGATCTTGGGTTTTTTTGAGTGAGGCGGAATGTTGCCCGAAACAACTGTCACAAGTCGACAATGCCAGTCATCTACGCAATGCTCCAAACACTCCTCTACTATTTATCCAATTTGAAGGATGATCACTCCTTAGGTTTGCTTTTGTTATACATGCGCGTAGAAGTGGAATGTACAAAGTCGCTTTATTTTTGAGTTCATTTTTTAAAATTTATTTCAAAAATTCCGCCTCACTCGAAAAACCCGATTTTGTACATTCCACTTCTACGCGGATGTATAACAAAGGCAAACCTAAGAGTGATCTTCCTTCAAATTGGATAAATAGTAGAGGATTATTTGGAGCATTGCGTACATGGCTGGCATTGTCGACTTGTTACAGTTTTTTCGGGCATCGTTTATTTTTCCTTTCATATCGCTGTAAAGGGAAGCGCCATGCATTCTTTCAGACATGTGAGTTGCTCCCAAGTTCTTTAGTTGTATCATCAAGTAATATGTAACAGTGGCTGAGCAAATGACCACTTTTAACCCCCTGCTTTACGGTGAGCCGTTGCAACGATCATTTTTAATCCCCTAGGGTTTCAGTCCCACGCACTCCTGTATGATCTCCCAACCAAACTCGTCCTTATTTTTTAATTTTGAGGTTAAACCACAAATTCTCGTTGTTCTGGATGGGTTGGATGGCTGGTAGGTTTGAAAAATCAAAGTGATTCTGCAGTTCATGGTTTTTCCCGATTTCGTTGGAGAGATCAATTCTGCGGATTTCATACTGGAACAAATCGGTTTCTGAATGTTAAAAATTTGCGTTGTAATGGAACTAGAACTTGAAAAATTTTGCCAAATCCAGCAACATTGCAATGTCAATTGTGGGCTTATCCCATTTAGTGTTCACAGGTCGTACGGTTACAGATACCAACTCTTGGTCAATAATTTTACACAGCTAAAGGTTTTTTGTTATTAGACTTTGCAGTTCTTCAGCACTTCGGACAATATCTACAACTAATACTTTTTGATTCACAGAGTTTTCGAAGCGCACCAATTGTAATTTGACAGAAAAAATCTTGTTCAAACTTGGTAGTAACCTTTTTTCGGAGCTCAGTGTTCAACTGAACATGTGGTTCAATGAGTTTTTCTTGTCGAAATTGAAGCAGAGGGTTTATTTTTTAAATTTGGCAAATCTAGTTTGACCAAAAACTGGAACATTAGGTTGTGTGAAGTATAAATTTTTTAGAAAAAAAATTTGTATAAACTTTGGCGTGTTGCCCACTTTATCCGAAAGGTTCATCTTTTTCAACATGAACAATTGAAGCTCACTGAGCCACAATTGGACACAACTTCTTTGGTTGGGGTAAGTGGGTAATCGGAATGTGCATCATGCAGATGATCGGAGTACGTAAGATCAATGTCCAAAAAAAATCTGATTTCGGATTCTCTGCTCGTATTGAGAACTTTGGCTGTAATTAATTGTTCATTAAACTCGAATGAGTTCAATGAAAAAAGATATTTTTCTGTAATTCCGCCATTAAAATTGATCGCATTCATCATGAAGATGAAAGTGCTCGTCTGTTCAGAATCGTAAATCATAATTTTTCAAAAAAACCATTGTTGGCAGATATAAGTTTTTTTTCAAAATTTTTGGCAATGCCTCCACAAATCAGGTTATCTGCCATTTCCAAGTGCTGCCTATCAGTGAGCAAATGGAGGTCAACCTTGCTTGATCTCAGAAACACATCCCCTGAGGGTTGCTA